GGGGGGGACTGCCTGGCACTGATGTTCTGGCCTCAGACACACCAATACCTCCCTCCTCCTTATAGTGGCGCCAGCGAAGGGAGTGTCCAGCAGCCGCCACTGGCGCTTGGGCCTGGAGAGTACAGGGTGCTGTTGTGTGTGGACGTTGGCGAAGCCAAGGGGTGAGTGGGGGCGGGCAGCAAAGGAGAGGATGCTGGGGGGGCGGTGATAGGGGCCTGCCCTGATCTGGGCCTCCTGTCTCACAACTCCAGGGCGGGGCACAGGTCAGAGCTGCTCCTCGAGCTACAGCGGCTGCATGTGACCCACACAGTGCGCAAGCTGCACGTTGGGGACTTTGTGTGGGTGGCTCAAGAGACCAGGCCCAGAGACCCAGGTAAGGGGTGTGGACAGAGGGCGGGTATCAGAGGCAGGGCCTGGTGGGTTGGGAGGACGCGAGCCAGCAGAACCTTTCTTGGCCTCCCAGCAGCAAGACCTAAGGAGCTCGTCCTGGACCACATCGTGGAGCGCAAGCGGCTGGACGACCTCTGTAGCAGCATCATAGATGGGCGCTTCCGCGAGCAGAAGGTTCCTAGACTGGCCTCGCCATGCTCCCCGTTCCCTGTCTGCCCTAGGGCTCCTCCGTGGCCCAGAGGTGTCCAGGGCACTTCGGACTGGCCTCAAGGCAGAGCTCCCATGGCCACACCCCCGTTCGAGCTGCACCCAGGCAGCCCAAGATCAGACCCCTCGGGGCCCCTGCAGGTGCACAGTAGGTGCGCAGGGTGACTGGCTGGCCTGAGGAGCATAGTCAAGATCCCTTGGGTGGCCAGGCCCTCCAGTCTGGGATAAGCAAGACCCAGACCTCAGTGTAGGTGCTGGCTGCTGGGCTGACCACATAGTCGTGCCATGTGTAGGCCAAGAGAGGTTTGGAGAACAGACATCATTCAGAGATAGTGTAAGGCTTTTCCGTGCAACGGTAATAACAGTGTGAGCAAAGGTGGAGGCCCTCTGAAACAGGCAGAGAAGCTAGGGAGGACGAGGAGGTGGCTTGGTGGGGCCAGGGTCCCGTGATGATTTTGAATGTGACATGATGGACAGCTGGCCCATGGGCCTCCAGGCCTGACCCTCCTGCCTGTCTGCCACCCCAGTTCCGGCTGAAGCGCTGCGGCCTGGGCCACCGAGTGTACCTGGTGGAGGAGCACGGCTCGGCGGACCACCTCAGCCTTCCTGAGAGCACGCTGCTGCAGGCTGTCACCAACACTCAGGTGAGCCAGGAGGGCCAGGCCAGGCTGGTAGGGACCCCACGGTGCGTGGCTCCAGCCAGGAGTCCCCTTCCTCTTTTGGGTGGGTTCCTCTTTCCCAGGTCATCGATGGCTTCTTTGTGAAGCGCACGGCGGACATTAAGGAGTCAGCTGCCTACCTGGCCCTCTTGACTCAGGGCCTGCAGAGACTCTACCAGGTGAGCAGGCGCCCGTGTCCCTGGGCCCTATGCTCCCCCCGAGGAAGTGAAGTGAGCAAGAGCCCTGTTTTTCAGGCTGGCCCACGGAGGCCTAGGATTTGGCAAGGACTGGCTGGGGGCTGGTCCCCTAGAGCTCTGTCCTGGCCTCAGTTCCCTCTTCCCTCAGGGCCGTACCCTCTGCAGTCGCCCCTGGGGACCCTCAGGGGACCCTGACTCAAGGCCTGGGTCCTCCCCAGATCCTCTCTGCTCACTCCTCACCTTCAATGACTTCAACGCAGGAGCCATCAAGAACAAGGTACTGCCTCCACCCAGTGCCTCCTTACGCGGCCCGGCCCTGGCCCACTCCTGATACAGTCCTCCCCCACCCCAGGCCCAGTCTGTGCGGGAGGTGTTCGCCCGGCAGCTGATGCAGGTGCGCGGGGTGAGTGGGGAGAAGGCAGCAGCCATAATGGACCAGTACGGCACCCCTGCCAGGTAGGCCCCCACAGAGCTCCCCGGGGGCCCCCTGCCCCTGCCCTACCTGCGTGGAATTCGGCTCTACCTATGCTTTGTGCAGGGGTCTGGCCCTGCCAGGGCTGGACAGACACACAGACGGACAGACCTGACTGAGGTCACGGAGGTCAGGTGGTTAAGGCAGACAGAGCCAGCTCGGACCAGATGGACCAGGCGGACCAGACGGGATCTCAGCCACTAGGGGAGGCTACAGGAGGGAGGGGGACCCGCCACCTGGTGCAGCAGAGAAGGCTTCTGGAGGAGGGGGTTGGGCCATGAAGACGGGGCCAAAGATGGCCATACCTGGGGCACATTTGCCGCTGCATGAAGGGATGGTGAGCTGGATGGAATAGGACCTTGAATGCCAGGCTCAGGAAGTGCAGCAGCGGTTCCGACTCCCCTACCCCATGCTGACCCCTTCTGCCTGTCTCCCCTAATGGTGGCCCAGCCACCCAAAGTGGGCCAGCTGCGTGCTATTGTCAAGCTTTAGAAACTCAAACACCCCACCCCACCCCCAGCCTGCTGGCCGCCTATGACGCCTGTGCCAGCCCCAAGGAACAGGACATGCTGCTGAGCACCATCAAGTGTGGCCCACTGCAGAGGTGACGGCAAGGAAAAGAGCCCAGAGGAAGTGGCTGAGGCTGGGGTGCTCTGGCCCACGGCCTGACCCTCACCTGCCTCTCTCTTTGTGCAGGAATCTGGGGCCCGCTCTGAGCAGGACCTTCTCCCAACTCTACTGCTGCTACGGCCCCCTGACCTGAGCTGTGCCACGAGGCTGACTCCACCCCCGCCCACCTTCACAGGCCAGCCAGCCTTTTAATCAGAATCTGTTGGGCTACAATAAAAATATAAGTATTTGCAGCTTTGTGTATTATGGAGGTGATGCCAGGCCCCAGCGGCCTTGTGAAGTATCCAGGCGGGAACCGGGGAGACCAGCAGGTCCAGTGGTTTTTAAACTGAGCTCCTCGGGACTCGGGTTCCCTGGGGGAGCATTGATACCACCAGGGAGATGGAGTCAGTGAGGCGTTGCAACTTTGAATCTAGTTTATGTCATCAGAGTTCCTGATCAAATAACATTTCCTTTGATAACAGGTTCCGTATTTTGGAAAAGAAATGTTTGGAAAGCGCTCATACTCTAATTGCCTCATTTTATGAATTAGAAAACTGAGGCCCAGGAAGCTACTAGGGTTTAGCCAAATTGATTGAGGACAAGCTGGAATTGAAACCCAAGGCCTCCATTGTCTACCGTGGGGTTTCCTAGGTCCCCCACAAACCAGTCGAACCCCAGTTCCTGGGCTGGGTCCTGGAGTCTGCAGCCTTCTTACATCTCTTCTCAAAGTGATTCTGATGCGCATGGTATGTGGACCAATCCCAGCCTTGGGGATGTAGTTCCCAGCTCCTATCTATGGTGCCCCCTGAGCCTGGACAGAGACATCCCCCCTTTAGGTGATTGGCCCGCCTCCCACAGCCTGGCCCCTTCCCCCGTCCGGGGTTCACTACAGTGTTACCCACCCACCTCAGCCACCAGGACTCCTTCTTTCTCCCTTTATTGCCTTTCTCTTTCTACTCTTCACAACAGCATCTGCCCTTGCAGCGAGCACAGTCATCCCTGAGCCCCAAGCTCTTCGGCTGCAGGAAGCCTCTCCCTCCCTGAGGGCTCCCCACCCACTCCTCAGAAAGTGTAGGCCCCCACGAAGACGGTGAGTCTCAGTACAGAACTGGCCCGGTAGCTCATGAGGGAGTTCATGGTGACCATCTCGAGGTCCAGCACGTACTCCCGGGGGCCCGTCACAGGCCGGGCGAGGACCAGCATGGCGCTGACATTGTTGATTTGCTGCAGGGTACAGTGGGTGGGGGGACATGTAGATTGCGTCAACCTACATGCCAAGACCCTGCCCCGGCATCACCTCCCTGTCCCGTATCTTGAACCCACGAGCAGTTGGCTGTGAAGGAGAGAGCCCGCCAGGCTGTGACCTCAGGCTCTCATCCGGCTCTGTGATACCTTGACATCTTGGCTGTGGTGCACCCAGGCTCCTGCCCTCAGAAATGTCCCACTGGTGCTCTTCCCACCCTTTCCACCTAGTTCTTTTGTCTAACCAGGGTCAACTGATGATTCAAGGCCAGGTGGGAGACTCTTGGGAGTGGTGGGGCCTTTGGTGACCTGGAGCAGGCAGACTTCCCTTCAGAGCATCCAATTTCAGAAAGAGAAAACAAGGACTGATATCAGATAAACCCCTTGGACCCCTCTCATTGTGAATCATGCCTGGACCCCTCCTTCCTAATAGCTCCACCAGCAGAGAGCTGGATTCTTGGACCCCAGGCCCCCCGCACCAACCCCCGCTGCCTCTCTCTCCAAGGCCCAGCTCCATCTGCTTGCCTTCCCCAGATTCTGCTGTGTCTGTTACCTGGGCAGGCCTCTCATGCCAGTGCCTTGTTCTAAGGGTGAAGAAATTGAGGCCACATATGGAAACCAGTGCAGGGACTCAAACCCCAGTGTCCAAGTGCCTGGTTGGAATTGCATTTAACAACCTGTAGTTTGTACCGAGGGAATTTAGAATACCCCTACCTTTCTACAGAAATTCCACCTCCCGGGGGGCGGGGCTTTGAGAGAAGAGGCGGGACATGGTGGTAGAGCCGAGTCTCCCACTTAAGGTTTCCTGGAATTCAATTTTGGATTACGCATGTCAGTTGAGGGGTGCAGTTAGGGGAAAGCCTTACCCTAATGTAGAAGTCCCCCTGCGAGTTTCCCGCACGGATCTGAAAGGCATTGTAGGCGCCAGGGTAGACAGAGGTCGCTTGGATCTGGAACACATCCGCGGGCACACTGCGCTCCGAGGTGATGCTCATGTAGCGGTGCACGATGGACGAGGGCTGCTCCCGGCACAGGGGGTTGGAGGCCGGGCAGAGGCAGCGACTAGAGACCCCGAAATGGGGACACGAATGAGGTCCTGGCCCACACCCCAAATTTGGTCCCACCCCTAAAAATAGGGACCCCCAAAATATCCTCCCATTCCTGCTAGAACAGTTCGCATTGTTGTCATGAAGGACTACAATTCCCATAGGCCCTCGAGGCACTAGCCTGCCCGAACGGCAGCCCGTCAGCCGCAGAGCCCTCTGGGAGTTGCAGTTTCTGCAGGGGGGCCTGGCGTCGCGACGACTCACTTGTCAGACACCTGCACGTAGGGCTCCACGCAGCGGTTGGTGTCCACGCAGCGGTAGCCCCCGTGGAAGTTGACACAGGTTTGGGCCTCAGAGCACTGGTGCGCGCCCGACTCACACTCATCAATGTCTGTGTCAGGGGAAAGGGGCTGGAACCCAGACATCAGGCCACCAGCCCCTGATACCACCCTGCCCGCCCCACTGGGGCCCCCTGTACCTTGACAGAGGCGCGTGGCCAGCAGCTGGTAGCCCTGCGGGCAGTGGCAGGAGAAGCGACCAGGCTCGTTGACACAGCGGTACTGGCAGAGATAACTGGAGTAGCTGCACTCATCGATATCTGAGGGAGAGTGTGGATGAGGGATCTGGACCAAAGGCGATCCTCTCAATTCAGTCCCATAAAGGTTCACAGAGAGAGCATACTTTCATCATAGGATTGCTGGCAGGATTAAACGAGGCCAAGTATGCAAGGGAAATGTGCTGCACAGGGAAGGTTTTCAACAAATGGAAGT